TGAACTTCCAAGGCCTCCCGTGCCTCCCGGACCAGCCCGCGGGCCACCATGAACACCTTCTCCGCCTGCAGGGACAACGGAAGGCTGAAGGCGACTGCACCTTCTCTCCACGCCCACGCTTCCCACGTGGGCGCAGCTCCATCCCTACCAAGGTGGGGGCAACCAGGGTCACTGGGGAGTCAGCTGCAAAGGGCGGAGACACAGGCCTTTAGACACTAATCCTGGCTCACCGGGTGTGCTCCAAGCACAGCCCTGGGCCACACCCCGCAGCCACGGATCTGTGCATTCGAGCAGAAATGATGCCCCTGAGAAACCAGAAGACGGCTTACCGGGACACAACCTGGCCAGCTCGCAGGACAAACCCAGTAAGGAACCTCCCTCCTTACCCTGTTTTCCGGGTGCCACCTTAAGCCTCATACCACCACCAGGAAAGGCACTGCTGCGTGCCTCCTTTACAGACCCGGAAGCCCCAGCTCCCAGCGGACAGATGGCAGCGCTCCTCAGAGTCCCCACAAGCCCCAGGCTCTTCCCGCCTCACTACCCTGCTAACCGGCGGCCAGGGGACAGAGATGGCGGGATGTACCTGCCACCACAGAGGACGTGCCAACCACAGGCAGGTCTTCCCAGCACCGCCACCTTCACCAGGGATGTTGTATTACACACAGTAGGGCAGCAGTCCCCTAGGAACTCTCGCCACCAGACCCCTGAAGCTCACAGGCGTGTTCAGGAGAGTGGGGGGATGGCTACACAGAGCCTTTCAGCCCAGGAGACACAAACCCCGGTTTCCGGTGACATGAGTCACAGCCCTCCACCAGTGACATCTGGATAAGAAAAGGCACCCCTAGAGGTGGCCTCCTGACACCATGTGGCCGTCAGTCACGTTCCCTGGTCTGGGCCCCCTCCTCACCTCCACCACGTTCCCTTGGCCGGGCTCCCTCCTCACCTCCGTCACGTTCCCCTGGGCCTCTCGAACCTCATTGATTCCGACAAACTCCTCGTATCGGTCCCACCAGGTCTTGGCCGTGGAGGAGGCGCGATGCTGGACGCTATGCCCCAGGGCACGTCCCAGTGCCAGGAGGCGATGGTACAGCCCGAGGGCCACCTCCTCGGGTCTCTTCTCTCTGGGCTGGCTGGGGCCTGGGCTGCAGAGAGTCCTGGCCAGAAAGAGATCCCTTCCAAAGGGGCCTCTCCGTGCCAGCACGTGGGGTACGCCCATGAGGGGCCACATGGCAAACGCAGGGCTGCACCCCGTCATCGAAGGTCAGCAAGGGGGATGCCAGGCAGGTCGGCTCGCAGCAGAGAAGGGCCAGACATAGCCAGGTCTCACAGCCTAGGGCCAGTCCTGAACAGACTCCTCCCCACAAAGAGCAGCTGAACCGTACCCAGAGACGGCGGCCCCAGCAGACGTGGTCAGGATCCCCTGGGGCTCCTGGGTGCAGACAGAACACAGTGGGTAAGTACCCCTGCAGTTCCCCGCCTCTGCCTCCCCAAGACCCCTCTCAGAGCAGCCCTCCCACCCACCCGGGGCTCTCTGCAGTGACCTGGGTGAGAACCCAGCCCAGCGTCCTAGAAGTTGTGGAACTGAGTCCGGGGAAGGTTAAGATTATGGGACAAGGGGCCAGCAGAACATCGCTGGACTCCCACATGGTTGAACGTTCCGAACCCAGTGGCTTCAAAATCATGCTGGTCCATGTACACGCGAGCCCAAAATCCCAGAAGAGAATGGAAGAGAAGGGATGTGCAGTCAACGCCCTGGGGGTGATTTCTCACTTTCCCTTTTACTGTCTGTCTCTGTTTCTCTCTCTCTCTCTCTAGGGAGTGTACACGTCCTAAGGCAAAAACCTCTAAAAAAAAAACAAGATCCTGAGGCAAGAGGCCAACAGGTGGTGTGGTGGTTAAGGTACTGGACTCCCACATGGCCAATCATGGTTCAAGTCCTGGCTCTGGTGGTTTACTTTCTTATTTTCCCTCTCACTCTGATAAGCATGTGTGCCCTATGGCAAATTATAAAATACGGGCCAGGAGGTGGCTTGGTAGTTAAGGGTGCTGGACTCCCATATGGCCAACTGTGGTTTGAGTCCCAGATCTGGCGGCTTTCTCTCTCTCTCTCTCTCTGGTCAAACTGAAATAAATAAATGAATGAACAAATAAAGTTAAATAATTTTTTTAAATGCTAAATAAAATTAAATTTACAATTTAAAAAAAAATGATCCTGGGGCATTCTGAGGGGAAAAGACTCCCTGAGGGCCATTCAAGTCCCAAGGCAGAAACTCTCAGCTCCCCCCCACGAGGACAAGTCCAGTGGGAAAACAACTGCTTCCTCTGCCTTCTCCCAGGTCACACCTTCCAGGCCCCCATGTCTGGTCTCAGTCCGGCAGCCCTTAGTCACTGCTCAACAGGCCCGGCTCCTTCATAATCATTCCCTTCAACCTCACTTTGGGTTTGGGACCAACCACTCCACTACTCTACTCAAGCAGCAGGGAGTCCCCATTATCCGGTCAGGACTTGCTGAGCCCCCAACTGGTCTGACTCTGAGGACCACCCGGAGCGGGCACACGTGGGTCAGCAGTACCCTCCTCTGGCTGAACCAGACTTCAAAGCCTGCACGCACAGGTCCTGGCTGTCAGCGACACCTGGTGGCCGACAGAGAAGCAGGAGCTCCCAGGTCCAGCACAGGAAAGGCCTCCTGGTGTCAGGGCCTGGGACACCCCGGCCTCCTTCCCCAAGCGCTGGGCTGGGTCCCAGCTTTGGAGGGGCTCACACCATCTTGAAGACAAAGCTGGCTGGGTAAGCGTGTGCCTTTTGGGCAATGTAGACCAGAGCCAAGGGGCAGACGAGGGGACACCCCTCTAACAGAGGTTCCAAGATCGTACCCCCAGCCTCGAACTGCTGGGCCCCTTTCATAGGGCTGGGGACCATGCCCAGGGAGTGCACATCACCCCTGCCCCAGAAGTTGGACAGACAAGCCCCCAGGCCTTGACACCAACACCCGCAGCACACAGGCAGTGACTCCACGACAACCCTGCAGGGGGCCTTTCACCCAAGCAAAACACACAGCCCTGTGGCCTGCCACACGGCACCCAGTCTCCTTCCCAGCAACGCCTGGCCGAGAGGTGTGTCTGCCCTGGCTCCCACCTCACCCCCTCTCTCCTCTCCCGATCTCGCTCCCCCACCACCACCGAGGATGCTCTCCGGGCCCTTGGCACTTCCGCCTTGGACCCAGCAGGCTCTTCTCGGGTTTCTTCTCCAAGCTCTTCCTGAAATCAGGGCTTCCCGTCTAGGCTGTCACCCCCTCTCAGCCTCCTTTCCTGACCCGTTCTCTACCAGCCACCTACACTGGACCCCTAAAGGTCACTCACCCCTGGAAGAGGTGACAGGTACAGGCTCCTTCCTCTGCCCTCCTCAGACAAGCTCAGTCATCCATCTGACCCCCCTCCTGTAAGCACCCCATTCCCTGCTCCTCTTGGCAACCGAATTCCTCGGCAGATGGTCTGTAGGCCCTGTCCCCAGGACTTCTGTTCTTTCCTAAGCCCCCTCTGATCTCACCACTGAGACTGCTCTTGTCCAGGCCACATGGCGAATCCCAGGGGTCAGTCCTCACTCCGGCATGGACCTGTGACAGTGCCCCTCCTTCAGATGCGTTTTTTCATTACTATTTATTATTATTTTTAATTTGCTACAGGACATGTACACTCACCAGAGAAAGGGAAAGTGAGAATGTAAGCGGCCAGGTCGGGGACTCAGACCACGGTCAGCCCTGTGGGAATTCAGCGCCTTAACCCCCACACCACCTGCCGGCCCCCAGGTGTGGTTTTTGGCTTCCGCTCCCCAGGCGTCTCCCTAACCTCCCTAACCTCTGGACACGGTGGTGCTCAGTGCTCAGACTCCATCAGCCAGCCCTGTGTTTTTAAAAACCATCTATGAAAACATTCGAAAATTCATTGTGGGATGTTGCACAACTGAATATAGCAAAACCACTGACCTGCTCCCAGGAAGTAGGTGAACTATATGGAAAGTAAACTATGTATCAAGAAATTTAAAAAAAAAATGTATTCTGACCTTTCCAACCGAGACTTCTCAGGATCCAAGGCATATCTACGAAATTGCCAACCCGTATCTCTGCTAACATATCTGATGCGTTTGGGACCGGCTGGTGGCATGGTGGGTCCCACATGGCCAACTGCATAGTTCAAGTCGCAGACCTGGCAGCTTGAAAAACATACCAAGTGCACGTGCATACGTGCCCCACATTCCGAACGAATGGAAGAGAGCATGGCAGAGTGCCTGTCCCCCAGACCCCAGAGCGTGCTTTCTGTCTCTTTCTGGTGAGTACACATGCCCTGCGGCAAGTTTAAAAAAAAAAATCTGATGGGATCTCATCTTCCCCTCCCAAATGTTTTCCCCAGTCTCCTCCATCTTGGTTGACAGTAACCAAGTTCAAAGTTCAGGCCCAAACCTCACATCACCCCCGACTTCACTCCACAGCCAATGTCCCAGCAAATGTCACCAGCTTTCTAGACCCAAGGTCCCTCCTCTTGTCCCTGCCACTGCTACCAAGGGATCTCCATGGGCCACACCTCTCGCCTGGATTATCCCCAGAGCTTCCCAGCTTCTACTCCAGCCCCACAGTCTGTGGTCAACAGAGTGGCCTGTGGTTCTTGCAAAACAGAGGTGAGATCGTGGCTCTGCTTAACCCCTCCATGACTCCCCAATTCTCTCAAGGTAAAAGCCAAAGTCTTCAGCACTGTCCACAGGGCATCTACCCGGCTCTCGCTCCTCTCTGACCTCACCTTTCCTCACTGTACTGGGTCACATGGGCCTTCGTGCTGCTCCTCTCAGGCAAGTCCTGCTCCAGTGTGGCTCCAGAGCGGTCTTCACTAATCACCCTATCAATAAAGGGCACTGCGCACCCACCCCAGAACGCTAACCCTGTCCTGGCCTTGCGCAGCGTGTACCACGTGACCTGCGGTATTGCACTACCCCGCTTTGCTTACAGCGGGTCCCCCCCACTAGAATGTCAGCTAGGGGAGCAGTTCTGCTCCTGCCGTATCTCCAGTATCCAGGCTACTGCCTTCACATCGGACGTACTCAACACGATGCTGGGGAGAACTGAACGGAATTCGCGAACGGCTGCGCCCCTGCCTACGTGCTAGAACCCAGCCGCCTTCCCGGGGCTCCCAAAGCTCCAGGACCAGGCCTCCCGTCCTATCTCCCTCGGCACGCTGCGCTTCCCGGGTTCAGGAACCGCTCCAAGGCCTTTGCACGCGCCCTTCCCTCTACCTGAGCTGCCATCCCCGCCCACGATCACGGGACAGGAGCCTTTGGATTACGCACCCTCCCGGGGTGCCGGGTATCCCCCGCCCCCACTGCAGGTCGACCGTGCCCACTCGTACCTAGGGCGCCTACAGCCCGCGAGCCGCAGCCCCGACGCGGCACTTGCCAATCAGTTGACCTCTGACCAGTTAGTGCCCGCCCCTGGAGAGCCACTTCCCGAATAGGGAGGGTAAGTTCCTGACCAGCAGCCAATCAGCGGGCCCGCTGATCGGAATGTAGGCGCAGGGGAGGGGACCGGGCGCTCCGTTTCCGGTGGCAGAGTCTGGGAGAGGGTCGGCAGGCGCGATGTCTGGCCGCGAAGGTAGGTGTGTCGGGGACGCGGCGGCGGGGCGCGCGGCCGGGCAGGGGCCGGGCTGAGCGCGCTCGTGTCGCCCACAGGTGGCAAGAAGAAGCCCCTGAAACAGCCCAAGAAGCAGGCCAAGGAGATGGACGAGGTGAGAGCGGGTGCACAGGCGCGGACGGCCGCGGGGGCACTGGGAGATCGGCCCGGGGTGACCCGCTCTGCCTCTCCCTAGGAGGATAAGGCTTTCAAGCAGAAGCAAAAAGAGGAGCAGAAGAAGCTCGAGGAGCTAAAAGCGAAGGCGGCGGGGAAAGGCCCCCTGGGTAAGTGGAGGGCCGAGTGGTGCTCGACCACCTCTTGGGTGCGGGCAGCTGTTTCCTGGCTGGTTGGCGAGCTGCGAGGTTCCTGGCGTCCCCTGCGGTGGCCAGCCCCTGCCAATGTCAGATGTGGAGCAGTGGGAGGGTCTGGAAACCGAGGCTCCTGCCTGCCGAGTAGTCTGGGCTGCCGTTACTGCTCACATTAGCCCCGTAAATGCGGTCGAGGCCTGAGTGCGCCTGCGCTGCAGATGAAGTTCAGGCTCCTCGGTGTGCTCTCGCGCCATATGCTTTTCTAACCCAATCTCCAGCCAGGTTGCCGCTTTTCCTCTGTGTGAGAGCAGTTGGTTACATGTCAACAGGTTTTTTTCAGGCCCAGCAGTCCTAAGCTCCTAGGTGCTTCTTAAGTGTTGTATTATAGTCCCAAACTAGTGGTCGTCACACTCCACCGTTTTCTCTGCCCTGTTAAGTGCTTGTGAGCTGCACAGGGCATGATTGAGGCCAGGATGGTAGGAGTGTCATCCTAGGGGTCTCGAGTTCTGCCCCAGTGGACTGGACCCATTGTTCCCACACAGCCGTGGATTCAGGCTGTTGAGGTTGTTTTTAGGAATGGCGTTCAGTATCTTGCTCCTGCACGTCATCTGCAGTTGTATATAGGGAGAAGTAGGTTTCTTAGATTTTTGCCATAGGGCACACCTGCTCACTGGAAAAAGACAGAGGGAAAGTGAGAAATCACCCCGCAAGGAGATGGCCGTGCTGCAGTCCCTTCTCCATTCCCCTCCTGGGATTTTGGGCACACGCACCCACCCGTGCAGTGTGATTTTCAAGTCACTGGTCTGTGACTTGAATGATGGTCTGCCATGTGAGAAGCCCAGCACCTTAACCACCATACCACCTGCTACCCCCACCTCCCCGAGATCAGTTCTTAATGATACTCTATAGTGTTTCTCAGCAAGCACCATCTAATGATCTTAAGATTTATTTTGTTCTTCTGGATTTTCATTCCTATATTAGGTAGGCATACTTAATTGTGTAGCTGTTTTTGTTTTTAATTACCTACCAGGTGCCAAATATGTTGCTGTTTGTAAATCGGGTGAACTAAAGATAACTGAGTAAACCAGCCCCCAGAACCATGATAGGGAAGGTAATTCAGGACCATGTGGCAGCTAAGAGTGCGGACTTGGGCCCAGATAAGGTAATGTATGCTGGTTGACCCTGCTACTAGGCAGACCGAGGCCGCACAGAAGATCCAGGTTTGATTCCTGGCCCGTTCTAAAGGCCAGACCTAGTGGTAACTCTTTTTTAGTCCCAGCAACTTGGGAGGCTGAGGCAGGAAGATCGTAACATAGCGAAACCCTGTCTTTAAAAAGACAATATGGAGACCGACAGGTGGCATGGTGGTTAAGGGTGCTGGAATCCCACATGGCTGACTGCAGTTCGAGTCCTGGCCCTGGCAGCTTACTTTCTCACTTTACCTCCGCCCCCACTCTATCCCTCTCTGGTCAAATTAAAATAAATAAAGTTAAATATAGTAATTATTTAATAAATTATTTTTAAAAGAGAGAGAGAGAATATGAACTTGAAAGTCAGAATACTCGGGATGGGATCCTGGCTAAATTGTAGCAGTGTATAACCTTGAACAACCCCTGATCCTAAGACTCGTTGATCTGCAAAATGGGTCGCTGCAGCATGTGGATTAAGCGAGCCCATCTGTGAAGTACACATCATGGCTTGTGCATGGTGAGTCGCCCCCAGAGCCCAGTGGAAGAGCCAGGCTGTTCTAGGAGCCACCGCAGGCCCACGTGGCTTCTTCCGTGAGAACTATAGTTTTCCTTAGCTGTGACTTTTTTCCCCCCAGCCTCAGGTGGAATTAAGAAATCTGGCAAGAAGTAAGGTGCTCCTTGTGTCTGGACCATGGCGACCACCCTGGATTCCTCTCCTATTTAAACATCTGGATTCCCCACCGTAGCAGCTACAGCTAGAATGAAGTGTTGTCTTAGAGTGTGTTGTACATTTAAGAATAAACTTTTGTTTAAAAAAAAAATCATACAGTGGCTTGTTGTTTCTTTAGTTGTCTTCACTCAGCCATTCCTGCCTCAGTCGTGAATTCAAAGTCAGTCCAGCCCAGGATCCTGCCAGAGCCTGCTCTTTGACCTCTTTGACCTTTGACTCCGGCTCTTTTATCGCCTGGCCTTAGACCAGCTCATGCGAAAGGCTGTCATTTTGTGTGGCTGTTCACAGAATGGGATACCTTACATGATGGTAATGGAAGAGTTTGTACTTTGGAGAGAAAAATTGGACCCATCTTTCTCTGCTAGGACATTCAGGTTGCCATGTTTCGATGGCCTTGTCATGTCAGGAGCCTCTGTGTGCAGGCGCTGGGCCAGGTAGGATGAATACCTGATACGTACCATGAAGGGGACAATGGAAGGGGGGGAGAACCTGAGAGCTTCAGAACAGGCTCGCTCAGAGGTCTGTGGACCATATATCCACTAGGGCTCCAGGCCCCTGTCTCAGACCCACCAGCAAAATAAACTGCCATTTCCATATGCCCTCGACTGCCACGCCCCCAGCCTAACGCCATCACCCTTCACTGGGACCATTGCCGTCACCTCCAGCTTTGCCTTCCTGCCTCGTCTCTTGCTCTCCTGCAGTCTGATCTCCAGTGAGGAGCCAGAAGATCTTGCCAAATCAAGTCATGCTTTGTCACCTAGGCTCGGCATATTTTGGTAGCTTCTTAGAGCCAGACTTCACAGCGACCAGTGAGGCCCTAAGAATCGTTACCACTTTCTTCCCTCTGATAGCTGTTATTCTTTTCCTGATCTGTCCTCAGGCACAGGAGTATACATTGCAGGCAGGTTCCTGCTTTACCGTGCTCCCCGAGCCCCGCTCCTGCCCATGCACTATTCTAGAGCCCGGCTCTCCCTTTAGAAAACTGCAAGTCAAGGGACCAGCAGTTAGCGTAATGGCTATGTCACTGGACTCCCATGTAGTTGACCACGGTTCAAGTCCCGAACCTGGTGGCTTAAACTCACACGGGGTGTGTGTGCGTGTCCAAGATCCTAAGAGGAGAATGGAAAAGAGATTGCAGTGTGGACATCCCCCCGGGGGGTGATTTCTCCCTTTCTGTCTTTCTGGCAAGTACACACACCCTATAGCAAAAACCTCTAAAAAAGAAAGAAAAAGAAAACCGCAACTCAAAACATTGCAGTAGGGAAGCCAGGCATGGTGATTCATGCCTGAAATCCCAGCTGTGTGGGAAGGTGAGGTAGGAAGATAAGTTCGAAGCCCCTCCGAGCAACCTAGCAAGACCATCTTTAAAAAAAAAAAAAAAAAATTGCAGCAGTGAGCTTTTCTCTAATCATATATAAAGTAGCAGTCTTCTTTTTTTTTTTTTTAATGTTTGTTGAACTTTATTCTATTTATTTATTTTAATTTGACTAGAGAGAGAGAGAAAGCAAGCCAAGCCACCAGGTCCAGGACTTGGAACCACAGTCAGCTATGGGGGAGTCCAGCGCCCTAAACCGCCTCGCCACCTGCTGGCCCCAATTGGCAGTCTTAATACAGTTTCTTAACCTGTTTTGTTTCTCCCGACTTGTTATCTACCACTATAACAAAAGTATAAACTCCAGGAGGACAGAGATGACCATCTACAATTGTTTTGTTTTGTTTTAGTTTGCTAGGGAGCAAATACACTCGCCAGAGAGAGGGAAAGTGAGAAAGCAACCCCCATGGAGGATGGTCATGTCATAGTCCCTTCTCCATTTCTCCTTTAGGGATTTTGGGCACACGTGCATTCACCCAGCCTTTTTTTTTTTTTTTTTGCCATAGAATGCACTCGCTTGCTGAAGAGAGACAGAAAGTGAGGAGACATTACCCCCCCCAGGGAGGATGGCCATGTCTCAGTCCATTCCCTTGGGATTTTGGGCGTATACATACACACACACAGGCCCAGCATGAGGTTTTTTTTTATTTTATTTTTTTAAGAATTATTTATTTAATTCCATTAGTTAGCATTTTTTGTATTTAATTTTATTTATTCATTTATCCACTTTAATTTGACCAGAGAGAGAGACACAGAGAGAGAGGGAAGGAGGGAAAGTGAGAAAGCAAACCACCAGGTCCAGGACTTGAACTGTGGTCTGCTATGTGGGAGTGTCCAGCACCTTAGCCACCACACCACCTGCTGGTCCCCCCATTATTATTTTTTAATTTAACTAGAGACAGACAGAAAGAAGGGTAAAGTGAGAAAGCAAGCCGCCAGGTCCGGGACTTGAATCACATCGGCCATGTGGGAATCCAGTCCCCCAACCATCACACCCTAGCATGAGTTTTTTTTTTTTTTTTTTTTTTTGGGGGTGTTTTTTTTTTTTATGTGCATGTCT